CAAGTACCGCTACTTCGCCTGCCTCCTGAGGGAGCGCTTCGATAAGAACAAGGATGTGAAGGACATGGTGAAAGCCACCCAGCTGCTGAGGGCGGGCGAGGAGGAGTTCTGGGCCAACCAGCACCCCCAGCCCTACATCTTCCCCGACTCCCCCGGGGGCACTTCCTACGAGAGATACGAGTGCTACAAGGTAAGGTGGCCTGGGATGTGTGAATTGTTGCACTTGCTTTGCTCTTCTTTTAGCGAATATAACGTGAGCAGCCCTAGGGCCGCAGCTTGGCTCAGCTGCTTGTGTGGGAGGGGCTGTCCTGCTTTTCTGATTCCTGAAGGTGGAGTTTGCTGATCTGTCCGAACACAGCTGGTTGCGTGCTGGTTTGGGTTGGGTTGAGGGGTTTTTTTGGTATGATAATCTGCCGTTTTGCCCGGTGGAATCTGCCCCGCGGTGGGTCAGGCGGGCACAGGGAAAGGCTGGAGCTGAGCTGTGGGAGGGAACAACGCGGAGGAGGCTGTGCTGCCATCTGAGAACTGCCTTGGTTTCTCTCTGGTCTGCTCGGGTGTCACCTTGGCTGTGGGGGGGACTTCCCTTCACTCGGTCCCATCATTCTTCCAGCGTTTTCAGTAACGGTACAAGTTAATAATTTCCCCTGATATGCTGCAGTGTTTGTGCGCAACTGTGTGACAGGAGCTGTGCCTGAAAATAGAAACCTTATATTTAGTTTTAAAGCACTTCTACAGGCTTTGACCATCTCGATTGTTCTGTTTAGAAGCAAAGACACAGGTTTCATAGAAAAACATGGAGCTTTTGCTTTCTTGGCATCAGCTTTTTAATGCTTTACAAGAAGTTAATACTAACCTGAATTGGAAAAAAGTGCTGGTGCAAGACTGGGTCTGTTCAAATCTTTATGCATAAGAAGCCACATGAAGGGAAAAATAGGATGTAGATTTATGAGAGGCAGTAAAAAGAATGTCTGAGTGAAAAGGGAAGAGAAGGACTTAAGCTTATGCCAACGTCAAGGGCCTTAGCAGTAGTAGAGGTAATAGTGAGAGAGAATCTGGTCAGAAAAAGGCCTGTTGAGCAATAAATGGTCAAGATTAGTCTTCATACATAAATAAAAACTGGATTATGCTCTCTTTTCTTTGCCCTGTTTGCTGTGCTAAAGTTGTCTGTTAACAAAATAGCATCACAAGGATGGTTATATCTGATATATCAGTGACTGTCCATCATGGGTGCTGCTACAAAATGTAATTTTTAGATCTTGGGCTCTTTGATGGTTGGTTTTAATTGTAGTTTGGTGTATGTGGATATTTTTTTACAATAGCAGCTCTGCTATTTCTGTTCACTCAAAGGTTTACTCAGTGATGAGAATTACAGCAGGAAACTGAAAGTCTAAATATCACTGAATAAATGATGGTATTGGAGCAACTTCTAAATTTATTTTTTTTAAGAACTTGGTCTTTGGTGGTATTTTGGGGTTGTTTTCTCTTAATCAATGTTCTTGTCTTTAAAATGTAAACATTTAGTGATATCCTGCTGCAGAATTTTGAATTTTGCTTTATTGTTTTCATTGTGTGAATACCTTCGTGGTCAGACCATTATCAAGATTTTAAAGGCCTAATAAAACTGCTCGTTTCCTAGAATTTGTCAAACTGTAATGTTCTGTCTTTGTCAAGTAAAATAAATCAGTAGTTGGAGAGAAGGATCTCTTCTGCCTTTAGGAGAAGTAAGGGAAGAAATGTGATCTTCTCTTCCACCAGAAAGAAATTATTTTGAGAACTTCAGAGTAAACTGAGATGACCTGGGATTTGTTTTGGGATGCTGTGATGTCTTCCTGTGAGTCCTGACCTCTGCCATGTGTCTTGGGACTTGTAGTAGTCAGGTAGCTCTTAAGTGGTGTTTTTATGTAGTACTTCACAATGGACAAAAACCCAGGAAGTAATACTGGCTTCAGTGATTGCATTTCCTTTTTCTGTATGTGTGTACTAGATGTGATTTCATATATATAAAATTATATTTTTCTTTAACAGATTCCTGAATGGTGCTTGGATTTCTGGCATCCTTCTGAGAAGGCAATGTATCCTGATTACTTTGCCAAACGAGAGCAATGGAAGAAGCTGCAGCGGGAGAGCTGGGAAAAAGAGGTCAGTGCTTGCTCTATGCAAAGTAAAGTCTCTTTAGCACACAAGTATTTTGTGTATGTGTTCTTGGAAAAATTATTGAATGCCTACTGCAGTCTCAGTTAGGCTCTGCTGTACTGGAACCCATCAGTGTGAAACACTGACTTGACCTAAAATAGCTACAGAGAGATCTCAGAGCTTCTGAATGGCCGTGAGGGAAATTCAAAGTTAAAGCTGAACCTGCAGCTGTGTTTCAGTTAGTGAGGGCTGTTATAGCAGTTTTGTGGAAAACGAAAACAAAACAAAACAAACAAAAACAAAAACCCCAAAACCAACCAACCAAACTCCAAAGTGGGATGTGAGGAGATTAATGACCAGAGAATTCCTCTTCTGCTGCTGTGGAGCTCTGACACTTTGTTTGCACATTGGAATGTGATGTGCCACAGCGATCGTCGATTGGGAATCGAGACTAATTTCTGGCCAGTTGGGAAAAGTTGATGTTCTTAGAACAGTCCTTTGATTCAGTTGTAGAGAAACAGTTGGATTTTATGGAGTGTGGCACTCTAGAATTAAAACAGGGGCAGCCAGCACTTGTGCTGCTTCAAGAAACGTGCTGAAAACATGTGAGGGGCTGTTGGTGGCGTGCAGGAACACAGGTTTCCTATGGACTGCTGGGGAAGTTGTTCTGGACTTGTAATTATCTGGCAGCTTCCATAGCAGCAGGATAATTCAGCCTGTTTAGTGTAGCAATGGTAGACATGAGTTACATGGAAATAGTGACCTTCTAAGTAAAATTTCTGTTGTAAATCACTTTTTTCTCCTAGAAATTCCTTCTTAATTAGGTAATATGAGCCTGCAGTGATTACTGAGTGGAAGTGAATGTCAGGAAACCTGAACCCTCTCTGTCAGCCAGAGGCTTTACCTCTGGTTCTTCCCTGCAGAAATGGGGAGCCGGTTTTGCTCACTGCCTGGGCACTGAGAGCCACGTTATGGGAATGTGTGTTAATGTGGTACAGCAATTCTCTCTCTTTCTTACAGATTAAGCAGCTGGAGGAAGAAACCCCAGCGGATGGTCCCAAAACTGAAGCTTTGCCTCCAGCTCGGAAGGAAGGGCACCTGCCCCCGCTGTGGTGGCAGTACGTCACCCGGCCCCGGGAAATACCCATGTAAAGGCACGTTGGTCTGTCTGCTGTAAGCAGGTCACATGTCAGTGACCATGTGCTTCTCTAAGTAACACAGAATAAAGCCAAATAAAAGTAACAGAGAAAGTGTTTTTCCTGTACACTGCTCTTCCCTAGCACACTCACACTTCACTGCCAGCCTGTGGAGAAATCCTAGCAGGGCACTGACACCAGAGCAAGTTCTCTGGCAGCTTTCAGAGTTAGAAAACTCAGCTAAGACTGAAAAAAACTGGCCACGCTAAACTCATGTTCCCAGAGAAGGAACGCAAGCTTAAAGGGGTGGGAGAGGCAGATTTAGTGGGGAACTTGATCAAATTATAAGCAACTAAACTGAGAATAACTAGATTAACAGACTGTCTCCCACTGTGGATAAGGTGGGAGGGAGAAGGGCCTGGGGGGAGTGAATGAAAACTAATAATAGTTCATATCAGCTCCATAACTTGGAATGTGATTGTAAATACAGGCAAGGTGTTAAAGCTGGAGTTTCAGGATGGTGACAGCAGCAATGTGCTTTGGGTGCTCCCAGAACGAGGGTATTTCTGACCTGGATTTGGGATAAAGACATCTTGCCCTCCCCACCTCTATAAGCACTTTGCTGCATTTTTCACTTGCATATCAAGTCTCACAAGACATAAATCTTCCTTACAGTGTTGTGCTTTCCTGCATGGATAACAGTGCTGTGGAGCACCAGAAGCAAGCTGATTCCCCTATAAACCGAATCCCAGTTAACACATGTGGGCTGCTGAGGAATATGGCTCTTGTGTGCTCATTCACGGGCCTGCATGACAGTGAACTAGGGACAAAAAGCTGTTTGCTTCTGGCCACGTTCCCAAAGCATCCATACAAGAAACAGGAAGTTTTGGTAACACTTTCACTTACCACCTTGAGAGGGAACAGATGGGATACAGCCACAGAGTGAAAGCTCATAGGAAAACCTGGCTCTTCAGCTGTTTTCCCATTTTTAGGGCTAGAAGAGAGGAGATCTGAGTTGCCTAATCTGACACAGCCTCCTTTGAGCATCCACCTGCTCCACCATGGGCTCCTGCATGGGCTGCAGGTGGATCTCTGCTCCACCAGGAACCTCCATGGGCTGCAGGGGCACAGCTGCCTCACCATGGGTTGCACCACGGGCTGCAGGGGAATCTGCACTGTGCCACCTGGTCTCCTTCCTCACTGACCTGAGTGTCTGCAGGGCTGTTTCTCTCACATACCCTCCAACTGCTGTTGCAGTGACACAGCAACATTTTCTCCTTCTTAAATCTGTTATCCAGAGACACCACCACTGTCACTGATTGGCTCGGCCTTGGCCAGCAGTGGGTCTGTCCTGGATCCGGCCGGCACGGGCTCTGTTGGACATGGGGGAAGCTTCTGGCAGCTCCTCAGAGAAGCCAGCCCTGCAGACCCCTGCTACCAAAACCTGGCCATGCAAACCCAACACAGTGACAAATGGAAACCTTTAGACAAAAATGAACCCATCACAGTGGCAAGGAAATAAACCGGGCCACTGTGTGGCAGCTGGAAGAAGGACCAGCGTCCTCCCCACTGCCTTTGTTGCTGGGAAAGGTGAATTAAAAATTGTCTTCAGTCACTTGGGGGCCTGTGGGAGATGGTGCTGGTGGTGTGTTTGATGAATTCTGGCTGTAGCACAGGCAGTGCTGACAGCAGCAATTTTCCTCCTCTGGCATAAGGAACTGAGGTCCATCACTGAAGTGGATGCACAAACATGCTGAGTTATCTGTGCTTCCTGGCCAGGTAAGAACAGTGAGGTGCAGGGAAACGTCATCAGTTTCTATTTCACTGGAATTTTCACTGTTAGTACTGCACTTCTGTTCTGCTACTACCCTGCCAGTGCCACAGCTACATGCAATTTTATTTACTTATTTTTTAATTCTCTGTTGCTTCTATAACACGCAGATGGAACCTGCGCCATCCTGAGAAGTCTGAGGAAGGGCACCATCGATATCCAATGGTCTGGAAGCAGAAAGCCTTTAAGACAGAAGTTTTTCAGCAGTTCTTTATTTATAATGTAGGCTTAAGCAATCATTACAATGTAGAAGGGAGACACACTTACAGCAATTATTTATACCAGTTTAGAACAAAAAACTGCACAGGGAGAGGTCAACTCTCAGTACAAACTAGCAACTAAACCACAATAATTTACCATTAGAAACATTTTATTTTTTAGCTGTGACACTGCTTTTACAATATGCAAAAACACAAACAATAGAACTATCCAAAGTGTTTTGTCACATTCTTTCTACATTGAATTTGGCAACATTTTATATTAAATTTTACTGATTATACTAACGTTTAAGAACTAAACAAGTGAAAAGCTGTACTTGGGTACAGTTACATCCATTTATTTCAAAGGTTTAAATAACACTTTTAACTATTGAGATTATCTCCTAGCAGTTTTTGTTTATGCAAAAACCATCTCAAAGCCTCATTTGCACAATGCATCAGCTACTGTATCAAGATTGGTGGGCTACACCACAGGCACTACTGTTTATTATATTCTGTTATAAGGAGCTTGTTTTTCAAAGAAAGGAAGGTTTAATATTTTCTAAGAATCATGCTTTTTTTTTTTGCTTTTTGCTTTTAAGCCATAACAAAAAAAAAAAGGTTAGCAAGCACAGCAGTGTAAAATGTCATATAGAACACAGTGACTACACAGTTACTAGAAGTTTCACATCCAATGCATTTATGTAGTAAAGCATAAGAGGTCATGGAGGCAAATCTAGAGCCAACAGAAATCTGCAGAGCATGTGGTGAAAACCAGCCCCTTATTTGTATTATTTGGTGCATTTTTAAACAATCCCGGATCCTCAAGCCTGGTGTCCATCCACACGTGGGTCTGCTGTGGGTGGGCAGACAGCATCCTTCTGGATTGTCTGATGGGAACACGTGTCATGCCAAGGGGTCTGCATATTTCTGTTGGCTTTAGGAGATGGGTATTGCAGCAATAACTTGCTTTTACTTTAAGGAAAAAATCCAACTCTTAATGATTCTATCAATAGCATTCCAAAAAACATGACTTAAAGTACAAAAAAAGAGAATATAGTGGTCAGACTCCCAGTATTATCAAAAAACCAGTATCTCTCCCCACCCCCCACCCCTCACCCCTTTCTTTTCGGTATTTAAGAAAAGCCAATCAACTGCCATTTAAAAGAAGTTAAGAAAAACAAGCCCCTGTATTGGAAAGAAACATTTGCTGTTTATTAGATCACAAGCTGGTTACACCTGTCAATTTTAAGTGTTTTCTCAAAATAGTTGGGCTTTCCAAAGTGCCCAGCCTGCTGGGCACAGTCAGAAAAAGGCATTTTGATAATATCTAAGAACTCCCTGCTTGCATTTTAAAAATGTTTTCACATTTGTAACTGCCTTAAGCCTGTTGTCCTGGTTTGTATTCAGCAGAAGGATGAGCAGAATGAAACGTGAAGGTGGAAGAACCAAGCCTACACAGTAAAGGCTGCATGCATGTGACTGAGAGTTGTTGCTGTGCAGTCAAAAAAGAAATGTGGAAAAACCCAGTCTTAGAACACCCTACAGAAACAAAACACTGCAATCCAATATGGCTTATTCTGATGCATTTACCATGAAGCTACTAGTAATCCATCCTACTAGGCTACTTTTGTGCAACAGCATCTGCTATTTTGATGGCATCTCCCTCCCCCCACTACCCCCCCAATAACTCTACCAACTGCAGGTTTCTTCCTTGCATTATATATTGCTTTCATTGTCAATTTTTATTCTTCCTTGTCAAACTTTTTTTTTTTAATACTTAAATGAGGATTCGTTCCTTACAGCTTGACTTAAACTGTAGGAAGTCCCATTGTTTTGTTTTTTTAACCTCACTATTACAAGGAGCTCTACAAAAGCTTGCAAAAAAGCCAAATTTTCATTAAATCCCTTTGCTGAAGTTAACTACTCAACATTTTTTTTTCTCCTATGATTTAAAACTTTACAAAGAGAGTTATAAAAAAGGTAAATGGGATTTGGCACCTTCAGAAAAAATTAAAAGTGTAACTTAGATCAAAAAAATGCAAGAAAACAAAATCATTGATATTTACAAATTAAAACACCAGTGAAGATTATGCCTTACTATGCTCTTTCATTTGTTTTCTCTTTTAGAGTACTTTCAGACTGTCTGTTACCGAGTATCTTAAAAAAAATCACTGATTACAGATTGGAATGGGTAGAGACAAATTGGTTTCTCACAGTTCCTTCTCGGCGTCTGGTACTCTGGCAGCTTCCTCACTCCTAGGAAATACGAGGTGCTGAGCGATCATTCGTGGTTGTCTTCTTCAGTTTGACACCGCGCCGGATGGCGTTCAGCATATCCCCACCCTGCGGGGCGTCCCCAGGACTCAGCTCCCCGGGATCCAGCTCTGCCTGGCCCACAGGCGCCAGGGTGCCGACCCCATCCCGCTCGCTTTCCTCCCCCTCGCTCTCAGGAACCACCTGCCTCTGCTCCTCGGCCACGCTCAGTTTCTGGCTGGACGATGGAGGGTTGACAGACGCCTGTCCGCTCCACGAGGGCACGCTGGTCACACCTTGTCCACCATCTCCTGCTGCCGGAGACTCCGGACCTTGCTCGGGACACTCTTCAGTCCCAGCGAGGGCGCCAGGCAGTCCGCCCGGGATGTCGGGGACAGTTGGTGTTTTGACAGGAATCACTGGTGTCTTGATGGGAATGGGCCCTCCCCCGATGGTGCCGCGCCGGACGGAAGGCTTGGTGGAAGGGGTCCGTCGGATGGTGGCGACGCCGGGGGTGACGATGACCGGTCCCAGCGTGGTTGGCAGACCTGCGGTGGAAGCAGGACGCTTGGTTTGAAACATTCTGCGATAGGACTGGCTAATGTCACTGTTTCTTGGGATGGTGGAAGATTTGTCAAACTCTTGTTGTTCTGCCTCCTGGTCACCACTCACAGAGAAATAATCATAATCTGAAACTGATGCCAAAAGACAGAGTTAGGAACACACTGGAGCAGAGAGCTGAGTCACGTCAGTAAGTCTAAAGTGTGTATATATAACCAAAAAGCCTGGAGATCAATAAGCATTAAGAGTGGTTTCACCTTTAGGAGGAAGAAAGCCTGAGGTTCCTGTGCCCAAGATCCACAGACTGTGTGACTGAAAGCACCACAGCAAAATGACCCTACAGCTGCAGGGTGCCCATGGCTCTTGTGAAAGAGAACAAGAACTGTACACACTCAGTCCCTTCTCCAAACTAATTAAGTAACTAAGACTCAATATTTGTTGCCAACATGAACATATCAAAACCAGCATCCTACAAGCCATATACACCACTTACAAAATGTACTTTTGATTAGGCAAGTGGGGCTCACGGGACTGTGTACCAGTGATTTCAGCAGCAAATTTGCTTATTTTACAAAGTAAATCCCAGCTGTCAGCTCTGAAAACTCAGCCTCAGCTTTAATAATTGCATCAAGTTCCTTCCTCTTCACATAAGTGCTGAGCCAAGCTTGGCCCTCCGTAAGCCCTGCTGCCTCCTGTGACTGCACAGCACAACCATTGCAGCTGAGCAAACGAGGAAGGTTTGAACTGCAAACACCAAACTCCTTCCCTCTGAGGTTGTTGTTGGTTCTGAAAGAGGGTACAAAACCCAGCACCTTACTGCAGCCTCCCAGCTACACCCAAATTATGGTCTCCAATGGATTCTTTTTCCAATTACAAAACTTCTGTTTAGGCAGGAAATAAAAGGTCACAAAGAGAAACCAAGAGCAGATTCAGAATGCAGATGGAACACGAAAGCAAAGCTCCTGAGTGTGTATTTGCTGAGACAACAGCTCACAAAGGACACTGCTACCACAAGAAGTGTATGATGCAGTACCAGTGTCATTCCACTCAACCTATGAAATTTAATTTCAGGACCTTCTTCAAAATGGTGGCATCCTTAACCTGAAACTCATTTGAGTAATGCACAAGAAAATACAATCGTTCAGTACACTATGAAGTAATCCAGATTTTTTGTAGTTAATAAATCCAGGCTGCATTTCAAGCTGCAAAAAACTTCACAGCAGAATGTTCAGCCTTTCTCCCCAGCTGATGACAAAGCCAGTAACAGCTGCTGGAATAGAGCTCCTTGGCACCATGGGGTGAGTGTATGATGGCCATGTGGGAATGCTCTAAAAAGGAACATCTCTTGGACGGGTACCTTGAGATGGGATCGTGTCCTCTGAACAGCACGGAGTTGTTGTTTGGGTGCTGTAGCCACTGGAGCACTGCAAGGAATCCCGACTGCTCCTCTGGGTGTCCAGCTGCAGTCCCCTTGACAGAGCCAGCGCCAGCTCCTCGCAGGCCTCCATCTCCTCACCCTGCTGCTTACACACAGAAAGAGACTCATTACGCCTGTCACCTTCACCCACGCTTAGGTGCCCCTCCTCCCCAGAAGAGCTTGTCACCATCACAACCCAACAGATTGTGCCCAACCACTGACTTGGGCTAGGAAACAGATGCCTCTTTGGAGGACGTTGCCCTACAAATGCTAACACCCAACAGCGTATTCCCTCACGCCCACAGGATTCCCACTGACCACACCACCACCCCAGTACCCCTTCCCGGGTGAACATGTGCCAGCATAAAGCACATCAGAAGTACTGGCAGGAGCCAGCACATCCGCTTCCCTTGCACCAAGCATTGTATTTGAAATTAGAGCTTCACCCTTGTGGCAGCTGAGACCGTCATGCTCCGAGGTCTCTGGGCCTCCTCAGGGGTCACAGGGGCCCCGCTCTGAGCTCCTCCATTGAGATCTGGTTCGCGCTTCTCTTTGCGACGTTGCAACGTGTTCACCATCGGCTGATCGTACGGGCCCGGCTTGGCCCAGTCCTAAGGAAACACACTTGTTAGTGACAGCTTCCATCAGTAATTGTGCTTTAATTACATGTGAGACTACGCAAAAGGACAATTTTAATGCACCAGATTATGTACCAAACTGCATATGCCTTTCTGAATCAGGTGAGGAATAAATTAATTTTAAGGATATTAAAAATCTTCATTTATAAAATCTATTTCCTTTATTAAAGGGAATCTAAATTTCCTATTCTACCTAAATGTTCTTATATGAAGATATTTAACATTTTGATACTACAGTCTTATCTAAATGAAATTCTGTTGTGACAAAGCCTACATTTTCAGAATTTCAAGTACAAAAATCACTTGCACATAGCAGAAAATACACATGCATGTTCAATCACCAATGTAACTGCTCTAGATGTACACAGATTCTAGTATTACATGCTGTTATGCATGTCTTTAGGTCTGAAAAATTAGGCTTGAACAGATTTTTGATACACATTAGAGGAGGAAGTTACTCTGAGTAATCTCTCAGTTTACTTACTAGCTGAAATTGAGTTTGTAATGATGATCTGTACCGAGGAAAGACTAACTTTACTCTGAACTACTGGTACTAAATTTGAAACAGAAATTCCTCAGCGAAGACAGTATTCACTCAGGGCTCTATTAAGCAAAGTCCTGAGGGTGTCCAGAACCCACACATTGCACACAAAGAGCAGGACTGATCCGTGTCCTGTGCTGGGAGGCAGAACCACTGCTAAGCAGTAGCTCCCCAAACACCAGCTGCTGCAAGGGCAATCCCAATCCTAAGTTTTCCTTTACTGAGACAGGGGCTGCTTTAAAAATAAAAGAAAAATTCTGCATTAGAATGGGCCCTACACCTCCCCAGCTGCCTGCTGGGCAGCCTCCCACAGCCTTCCAATTCACAATTAACGATGGGCCAAGACCACATTATGGATTTTTACTGACATGTGTCTCAGTCCAACATATGAGAAGTGCACGGCAGCTGAAGTGACAGACACCCTTGCACAGACAGGTATTTTGGTTTTATTAACACATATGAAACTCTGCTTTACCTTAACATCTGTGTCTCTGCTCTAAGTATTTTGCTGTCAAATATACTGGCAGAGTGCTTCTAGCACAGACACAGCTAATGACCCTGAACCCCCAGGACCACTGTGCCCACCCTGTATCTCAACAGTCTCCAGCTGCTGGAGAGAGAGAGCAGGGGGATCTGTAACAAGATATCTCAATTTAAATGTATAAGCAGGTCCCGTGGTGCATATGCAGTATTACACAACCATCCACAGGCACTTAAATCCTGCGTAGCTACTGTCAACTGCACATCAGCCTTGTGAGGATTCAGGGCAACAGAGAAGAGATCTTCTCTCCTTGCTCTGGGGCAGAGTCTCCCAGGGGAATGACCTGGCAAGGATGAAAGTCAAGACTGGCAGAGCAGAGACGTTTTAGTGCCAAAGAAGATCCCTGCAGATCCAGCTGGAGCAACTGAAAGAAGCTACTGCACTCTTTTTCAGTGGTCTCCACTAAGAGAGCAAAACGAGCTGGGTGATCACTTCCAGTTTGTGGCAGTAAAGCTGGGACAGCTTCAGTCATCACTTGGGTTTCCCTGGTGCTCAGCACCTTCTTAAACCACTCCAGCTGGATCTTGGAGTGTGCCTGCCCATGGGCAAGGTGGGGGCCCAGCCCAACCACCACAGGGAGAACACTGGTGTCTTCAATGTGGCCTTGCTAAACTAAGCCAACTGGATGCCAAGCCTGCCTTTCCGTGCTCAAGTGAGCGCTCTGACAGAGCTGAACAAGCTTTTCTCGCTGAATAGAGCCCAGAGTGCTTTCATCAACGTTCCAGAGTTAAACTATTCCTTCCTACCTACACATTGTCAGCTTTAATATGCTTTAGTCAGTGCCAGAACAGACAAGGTCATTGAGAAATACCCCCTGCTGGAATTTAGCTCTCCGATTTTCCCCATGCAGTGCCCATTCAGAGTGATATTAAAGAGAGCAAATCAACCAGTAATTACACGGACCGAAAGGTAGCAACAACTGCCGTGTGCATGCTGTTGGTATGAGGAGGTGAGGACTGCCACAACAAAAGGAACACAAACCTTCCAGCTAGGGATCTTAGATGATGGAAACATGCCTGGCCCAATGGTGTAATAATGAACGTAGTCTGGAAGGAGGGCTGAGGGAGCCCGAGTCCACGCGCGGGAGACAGGCGGGAAATGAGGGAAAGGACCTGCACCAACTGAAGCTACGGATGGGTCACTTGATAAACTACAGTGATAAAACCCATTAGACAACTGGAAACGAAACAAATAAAAAAAACAAAAACAGAGAAATTAATATAAACAGAATGAATACGAAAATACACTGTGACTGATGTTGTAGGGAGAAAACTTCTGTATCTTAAAACAAAAGAAAGAAAACTCTTAACTCTGCTGCAAACAAAAAACAGAAAATTGACACAATGCTTGGTTCAGAAGCGAGATTGCCTGAAAATTGTTATCTGGTATAACAAATTTCAGGCATCAATCTAGTGGTCACTGTCTCCCAGCTGAGCAGCTTTGCCTTCTGTCCATGGAAGCAGTATACTGTGAAAAAGCCTTTGCAATTTAGGAACCCTGCAGACTGCAGACATAGTACAAAACTTTTCCAATCCTGGAGGCATTTGCATTGGTGGCATTTAGTCTGTGTAGCTGGACAGAGAGGAAAAGCATACAGCCTTCAAATATGGCATGTTCTGTGTGATGATATGGAAGAAAAAAGAACAAAAACCAACAGCAAGGATTTACCAGATGAGAATGGAGACCGCTCTCACTTCCTCCCCCAATTCAGAGTGTATCCCACTTTATTTATTCCAACAATGTGTGTTTTGTCTTCCTTTTTGGTCAAAACCCAATCCCAATTAGTGTAATGTGTGCTACCTAATGGGAGAAAGGGGAGAAGCCACAAACAGCACAACCTGGGCAAGAAGCTCTTTGTCAGGCAACCAGCTGGCTTTGGGCGGCATTCCACAATCTCTTCGAGTAGCAAAGGTGGACAGTGAGCTTTTCTTGGAAAATTACCTCTGTAAAATGCCCAATTTGTAGCTTCTCCTACAAACTAGTTGAAAGGCAAGTGTGGTCTATTCAAACAGATTAATTCCTAAAGGAGAGTGCAACAGTTCCTATTCTCATCTTCGCAAAAAGGAATCCTGGCTGCATCCCATGCATCGTTTTTTGTCCAATGTTGCAGGGTTTGGATAACGAGCTAGTAGGTTTGTATGTCTTGGAGATGAAGTTTTTCACCTTATCTGTGGAGGCCCAAGCCCCCATGGTGGAGCCTGAGCTGACTGAGGTGGGGGAACTGCACTCGCTCACTGACTGGCAGGTTTCAGAGGCTTCTGAAGAGGCAGAGCTGGACGAATTCTGCAGCGTAAAACAGCACCACAGTGCAGGGAAAGGATACACAAGCCACCAAAAAAGGAAAAAAAATCACAAACAGAAAGAAAAAGACAAAAAGCACATACACAGAGACACACAGGAGAGAGGGAGGGATGAGAGAAGCAAAGGGTTAGGGTTTTAAAAATTAATTAGAAACTGCTCAAAACCATTCCTAATGTTCAGGACATCTATGAGAAACAAAATAAGCCACTTGCTTAATGCGAGAACTTGCCACACTGCTTAGGAATGAGGAAACTGAGGCAGTGATCTCAACTCCTCATTGCAATTTCAGCATCTCAATTCTGTTAGCTGTCTCACAGCAAGAAGCTGAGGGAGCTGAGGGCACCTGTGGTCCAAACATGCAATATACTGAGACAAGTGATTTATACAGGAAAGCAGATCATCAGTACTTCAAAGACACAAAGTTTAGATTTAAAACATGGAATAGCAAACATCACTTACATTCACAAGTTCTTGGATATTCTGATCTGCAAAAGTGCTTGTGAAAAGCTCATCTGAGTTCAAATATTATGGAATAGAGAAAGAAGTAATACTTACCAAACTGGAGTTTTCCAAAGTGCATAACTTGTATGCATGTAGGTAGGATGCATACACCAAATGCATACACTCTCACTCAAACCTTTCTGCCCAGCAGCCAGTGTGAAGGTACATGTGCTCTGCTGTGTGCAGAAATGGTGGCATGTACTTGCCACCTGCTTTCTCTTAACAGCAGAGCCAGAAAATACCAGAGGCTTGGATGGAGAGCGAAGGAAAATGCAGGACATAAAAGTGCCCATTGAACATAACAAACATTTTGCCCCTAGGTAGGAACTTCTCCTCCAATTTTCAGTGCACGCCTTTATGTACATTTGCTGCTTAAGACCTCTACAACAGACTCTAATTCAACCACAGGCAGGCCAAGGGGAATAACCATGCAGACCACTTTGCCTGCTACAGTGCTCTTCTAAAGCTCCCCCTTGAAAGTGGCATCCTGCTCCATAAAGGTGTGCGTCCAGGTCCAACCGAGTGCTTGGAAATGGTCAAGAATACTGGAAGAGTTGCCAGGGCAGTGGAGAGCTCTATTCACTGTCAGGAAATTCAAGACTACCAAGACTAATTCACCCTTTAGTAGCCCAGGATCTGGAAAACAAGTCTATCTAAGGATATCCCTGCCATTCTACAACAGCAGAGAGAATGCGCTCTTGTATCAGGTTTGCGTAGCAAACTCACAGATTTTAAGATGTTGAAGAGGAAGGGAAATCTCATTTGAAATAAAATTTCATCAGTTAACGTCAGGTGAGATCTGGGGTGAGTTTGCAATAAAAAGACAAATGGATAAGAGGCACTGTAGAGAACAAAAGGTGTCCCCTGCTAACCAGAAGCTACATATGAGAAATGTACAGCCAATTGCCTGGGTAAAAGGAGATGTAGGTCTCTGAGATGGAACACTGTCACCAGAAGGATTTTGGTGAAGGCTAGTAGGGCTGCTGAGAAGTCAACACAGCATCAGCATCTTGAACTTACTAGCAAACTGTGAGTTTAGTGAAGTTTTGCAAACACTCTAAAATTTTTTAAAAAGCATGTAGTGTGATGGACCATTTTATAAAATAACACATCCCATCCTATGCTGACATGGGATCAGATCTGCGGGTGACCTGTCAAATGTGCGTAGGGTACAAGTATGCTCAGCTAACAAGGCTTGTATGCAAGGTGCAGCAAGAGCTGAGGTGAAGGTAAGATCGGAAGAAATCACAACAAATGACTGTTAAGGAGAGCAGTGAACAGTGTGCAGTGGGGCACCTGTTGATGCGGCGGCTTCATGTTTTGTGGAACTGGTCACATTCTTGATTTAATGCAACTCCTTTTACAGGAGAAAAGCCTCTAAAATAAGAATACCAACATGCATGAGCTGTAGTTGACTCCGCCATCAGACATAACCACGGTGCACTAAATGGAGATGAGCCTATTGCTTCTATCCTTAGAGAAAAATACATTATAGAAAATTAGCTTTTACACTAAAACTCCAGACTTCTGCCTGACGTTCCAGGTACCTCAGAAAAGAAATCCCATGAGAATACTCACACTGATATTCTGGTTTGGCCAGGAAAAAGAAACGAAGAGAGAAAAATGTAATTACAGAAAATCCTTTTTTAACAGCCTGAATGACCCTCCTGGGTCTGCATACTCTGCACATGGCAGAACAGACAGTGAAGAGTCTGAGTTACAAGCATGGTATCCCTCATGCCACATTGTCTTCTGCAGATGCCTCAATGGGGACAAGTAAGAATTTGGAATTTACACCTGATAAGACTATTTACAAGACAGAAATTTCACAAGATTATGTCAAGTAATGGTAAAAATGGCCCATAAATGAGGTTTATTAGCAACAAAGATGCATGCAGCAAACAGACAGAAAAAGGTCAAAAATGGAAATTCTCAAGATGCAAAGAATTGTTCAATTTACTTGGTGTATGGGGGGAAAAAAGAATAGAATTGATGAACTTATTTTTGCAATTTAAGTGACTACTTTCAAGGTGAAAAAAAAGAAGACAAAAAGGACTCTCCCACTAACTCAGTGTGTCCATTTTCAGCAGGAAAAGCTAGACAAAGGCTGAACCAAGATGCCATGGGGAAAACACCCTGGTAGACGAAGGAAATGCAAGACGTGGTGGTACAGAAAGTGTCTCCTCACCTTCAGTAACTTGCATGGCACAGAGAAGGTGAGCCTCTGGTCTTGCTAAAAAGCATTACAACAGTGAGAAAACAATGGAGAGGGAGGCAGAAGAATACTGAATTCCTGAAGGAAAATGTAAGGAAAACATGACTGGCAGCAGGTCAAAGGCTCTCTGGATCAGACTGCAGAGCCACTCCTGAATGGTTAGATGAAGGTGTGGGAAGTACATACCACCCTTCATTTCTTAGCAGAAAGTACATGAGGGACTGAAAACAGAAACTATACAGTTACTGCTTGGGCAAAAAGTCCCCAAACAAGTGCTTGTTTTAGATGCACACCCTCTGGCACATGCACTCCTGTGAGCACACGCACTGACAAACACTGGGCAGAGCAATTTCTACTCCACACCCCATGGTGTGAGAAATTTGACTATCAGATTTTTTGAATTTGTTTTAGTAATTATTTTTTTTAAATGATTGTTTCACGTGAATCAGTTTTAAAATCAGTTCTTTAATTTTAGCTATTTTAACCCCGGGAGATTTTTTTCTTTTCCCCACAGCTGCAATAATGGTCTGCTCTTCTGAGAAAAAGCTAAAAGTTAGGAGTATCAGCAGAAAGCTAAAACTGTGCTCTGCACAGCAACATGCAGTGTAGCTTGGTGTCTGGTCTCTCAGACGTTGTGCCATGGCTTGTTCTTGGATAGTGTCCTGTTGCTTGGTGGGGTATGTACGAGTTCCAGCAAGCATAAAAAAAAAGAGCTGTATTTTGGGCTGCTGGACTGTGCAATTATATTTTCCATCTGCTGTCCTACTAACCTATAAAAGGACTATGGTTATCTTGTATTACTTGCATCCTTTCACACCTTTCTTAACCCCTTCCCTTTCCCAATTATGAGACAGAGCTTCCTGGACAAGGGTTTCCCAGAAGATCAAATCCTAATGACAGTGTCCTCTACAGTCAGTGGAAAACGGTCTCAGCTACTTTTCAAAAGGCTCCAGACAGTGACTCAAGGTCATCACCTCTCACTTCCAGAAACCTGTCTCTACTGACTCTTCTTTCTAGTCAGGGATAAACTGCTGGGAAACATAACTTAGAAAAGGAAGTTTAGGAGAAACAAATTCCTGGTGAAAACTTAACAGATAAGTTTCAGTTTGGAGTTGTTTTTTGTTTGTTTGGAGGTTTTTTTGTTTGTTTTCCAGGGGTTTTTTTTCTGTTTTGTTTTTTTTTTAAGTATTATTTGGGAGTATTTCTTAATTTAAACGGAAAACTGAATAGCTGTAACAATGTACTTCCCCTATTCTAACTTCAAGCTATTTCAAGCGATGGAATCTCCTCAAAAGCAGAATCTTTCCAGCTTGATAACCTGTACACGCAAAAGCAAGTTCGCATTCAGTTTTCCCTTACTTCAGTGTTTACGGAAAGCCATTTCCAGCGTATTCTCACACTAAAGACTTATCTCTCTGCTCTTTGACAGCACACCAACATTTCTATCTTCTTATCTGGTTTTTTCTGTCCCTTTGCTTTCATCCCCACAAAGTCTAAGCAAGCTATGAAATTCAACTGCATAAGTGCTTCCCCTATGCATGTTCACTCCAAATCCAGGGGATCCTTTAAAAATCATCCCCCTGAATCAAACGTAACTATACTACTACCATATTATTTCACCACAGATACTCCCAAGACCTCAGTTTGTCTACTATACAGGACAATATGTGGGTTTAGCAGCACCAGCCATGTCCAGTGTTCACCCAAGAGCCACTCTTGGTCTGATGTTCCCAGCAGCAGGTCTGTCAGAAAGACTTTGTTTGGGGTCAGTATGTGCCATGGGCAACACTGGCCATGGCTGATCTTACATCTGGCATTTAGAGAAACTGTTCCACTCCAGAAAAGAGACCTGTGATGCTTTTCCATCACAGGATGTGCTGAGCTACACCCAAACATACTTGTGTAATTACAATTAAAGTATTTTACAGTGACCTTCCCACATGTATAGCTACATGCTACAGGCTAACACTTCTGCTGCCAGGGATATTAAGAGCAATGCTGCAGAAAAGAGATCCTCCTAAACCAGTGAAAAGGCAGTGTCTGATTTGATAATTGCTCTTTTTCCTATCTTCTATGTAGAATGTGATAATTGCAAACACTTACTACTCGGCAACTACAGGTTGGAAAGCAGTCTTCATTTTGTCAGTCATCTCTCCTCTGGTATAGTCTGTATCTTGTTTAAATCTCTAGTTACTCCTTGTTTGAGATTCCCACCAGCCTCCCACCCCCATTTGTGTTTTTGAGGAAATTCAGTTTAATTTTCAGTGACACTTGCTTGTATAAAATGTAGGCAAAGCACATAAAAACTTCTCATAGCTCATATATTCCCAGTCCTATAATATGGGAATTTTAGGTAGTCCCTTCTACTTCTTTTTTCTTATTATAGAAAGAAAAAGGGCTTTGTTGATCCAGCAGATCCCACAGCATGTAGCTAGCAAACATCAGCAAGTGTCCACCTGCGCAAGATATACAGCTTTTAATTTCCTTTGTTGGTTCCAGAGCTTGCTTTTCTGCCTTCTCAGTGTCACTACTAGAAACAATGACATCAGTGTTCCAGGAACAGCAGCAGCTGCTGCTGCTCCTCCCCACCCACCATGGAGCCTCCAAGCACAACCACACGGAGATCTGTCAGTTGGTTAGAGACACACAACACAGGATAACGCTGTAAACTGAACAGCTCCTCGGTAAGCTCACAGTCACAATCATCTGTCAGCACAACACACATGATTTACTTAGTGCTGAACATACAAAGCAAGACACTTAAGCAAAGATGAAGCGGCCAGGCAATGATCTGTTACCTTTTCCTCTGCGTAAAGGTATACAGAGCCAGAGACATACAGAGCACATACCTATTTGTTATACCAACACACTACACTTGTCACACTGCTGCAGCCTTCTAGAGCTCATGAATAGCTCAAGTGATGCTTGGGTCAGTTTGCAACTTTATGGACAGTTTCTAAAATGAAGTGAAAGCACATGAACTTAGATGGTGTAAATCAGTGTGACTCCCATCAACTTTCAGGATGTTCTGCCACCTGATACCAGCCTAAGTTCTCTCCTCTGCTTAACAGGGGAACTTGCAAAGAGAGATGTTGAGTTTTTTTCCATGCTAAGAGCAATTGCAAAGTTACATCCTCATCTGCAAACACGGCATCATCATGTGGATTACCGCCCTTTTATACCGGTGCAGTGGATACTATGAAAACCAAAGATGATGCTGGCATGTTTAACTGATGTATGTATCTTAAAAGTTAATTTCCTTACCTTGTTACTATTCCAGTTTACTTTATTATTGCTCATTTACTTTTTTTGCATTTCACTTAGGTTAGCCATAGCCAATCTAAACAAAACATTCATTTTATTAGTGTGCACAAGGTTCTTCAGGATGTCACCTACAAAAAAAAGCTCATGTGTCCAGACTGCGGACAGTGCAGAAGAGGTATCATTTGAAAATGATCATCATCATTAAAATGAAAGAGGTAAATATATTTAAAAACAGTTGAGCTTCCCTTGAGAATGTGTTCCAAGCCTAAATGAACCAGTTTTATTTTGGATGATACCTTAAAATTTCATTAGGGGTTCCACTCACTAAATGTCTTGCAAAAGTAAGGGGCTGTGTGCTATCAAAGGTGGTCTAAGAGTAGTCTATATGGGCAGGTGACACTTGGAAATCACTAACACTTGCTGCTTGTTGACTGTGAGGATTAAAACTCCCCAACTATGCCTACAGAACTATCTACTCCCCAACATATGAAAAGGAGTGCAACTACATTTCTTAAAGTAAAAGACAATCTTCTCCAGTGACCTCAGGATGTATTACAATGAGTAATACTGAACAACAGGATATTAGGTCCACTTTGGTTTGTGACTAAGATTTATGATGGGATTTATAACATGAGATGGTAATTCAGCCTTGTTTAAAAAATACTGCAGCTGCTGTGTGGTTTGTTTAAAAAACCCAAACAAAACAGCAGAAAATTCAGGTGCTGGAAGGTAGAGGCCTTGGAGCATTGCAAAGCACTGCCTGCAGATGGCCAGCTAGTTTTTATAGGAATGATGCCATGAAGAAATAGAGCAGCAACTTCCTTCTGTAGACCCAAAAATGCTCTGGAAAAGTTTTGCCTATATTGATAGTGAAATCCTCTTAGTTTTACTGTGTTTAGGATGTTACCATATATGACTACACAAACACTCATTTCTTATGAGTTCTCGTTTTCATGCAGAAACCTTATTTCTGCAAGGTGCTCAACTGAGAACCCAAAAGAGCAAGCCTATCCACAGAAATGGATGTAATAAAAAATGGCAAAGCCAGTTCTGTGTGATAATGCTGACAGCATTTTGAGTATCCCAGACCCTTCACAGGGGAGGAATAAAAGAAGTCTCTCTGATGTCAAAGCCACCGTCCTATGGCTGTCAAAAGGCTGTTCTGGCATCAATATTTGCCCATTAAACAGTAAACAGCCACCACATATTAACAACTTGCAACCTTTGCAGGATATTAACTGCTAACCTCAGTGGGTAAAGTGAGTATTATTCCCTCCTGTAAGGTGAGACTTGTTCTTTCTCTTCTGTATGTATCTGAAAAATAGGCATCTAGGCTCCCTCCAGGGCCATGAGGAAAACTAAATCCCCCAAGAGTGACTTATCCTTTTCTTCAGTGCTAACTGCAAAAGCAGCATAAATCACTCAAGCTAGAGGCCCAACTTTTAGCTGGATTAAGTGTAGTGAGACAAACCTCACCCTCACTGTTTAAACTGACTCCAAGGTACCCCAAAACCACAGCAGATTCTTTCTGTGAAAGGTGAGCCAATTTAAAGAGTCCAGCTCGCACTCAGGTTTTTGTTCTCATGCTTGCACGTACCTGGTTAGGTGCTTCTGGTGGCATGGGGGATGGCGATTTGGACTGGAAAGCATCCTGGGACATGAATCCAGAATCATGGGAGGACACACTGGACAGCCTCATGGGTGCCTGCTGAGGCAGATTGGAGCTGCGATAGCGATAGTGTGAACTAGGTGAGTGCGAGTGCGAGCCACTGGACCGGGAATCACTACTGTTAACGCTGTTCAGACTGCTGTGAGAGACAAAAGGAACAGAGAAAGGAAAGGGGAGAGGAAAAGACACAAGGGTGGGGTGGGGAGAGACCCATATGCAGTACAATTAACATTCCACATGTCTCTAGCAACAGGCAGCATAAACCGGAAAAGAAAAATATTGACAAATTAAATATATATATATATGCACATATATATCAGTAAAGAACTATAAGCAACTGCAGTATCCCTGGTGATGAGAGAGAAAATGGCATTTTACCTTGAATTTCACTCGCATGACCAAATCTGTAACCACTCAGAGTTCAAAGTTGGGTTAGGGATTGCTACATGCCCTCCCTAGCATTTGCACAGCACTTGCTCAAAAAGTCTCTGCTGACAGCCTTCTCCTATTCCTGACTTAGACCTTGCTGCCTCTGCGCCATGGCCCAAATATACACTGGGATTTCTAGAAGGGTGACCAAAGGCACTGCAGTTCATATAAGCGTCTGTCTCTAGGCATGTCACTGCAGACAGTCAGCAGGACAATGTGTGAGACCATCACCAAACCCCCCACGCTCCAGAGTACCTGGGACAAGCTTTGCTCACATGAAGGCTTCCTACCAGAGAAAAACATGTGATGGCATATTGAGTGAAGCCAAGCCACTGGGTATGGAGCTTTAGTTAGTAAGATGGTTAGAGAATTAAAACCCGAAATTAATATCCGTGTTAAAAAACCCAGTGTGATGCTTCAAACAAAGAGATTGATTTTTACTCCTCAGTATCCATGAATGACAGTAAGGACATGTCAGCTGCAATGTGGGAGCCTGTGAAATTTCCTGCTGGGGTGGCTGAGCAGGACTAGCAGGATGTACCTGTAGGCAGCTTTCTACCCCCACTGGCAGGAGCCTGGCCGAAGGAATGGCTCTGTAGGATATGTGGGTGAGGCCTGCACCTCCTGTTCACAAACGCCACGTACACAGAGGATGTACAAATCAGCTTGGAGCAGAGAAAGAGAAAATCTGCTGAATTTTACCCACACATACTAGTCTATGCCACAGAGGTTTTACTGCTCAAGAAGATGAGGTTCATTAGGAACAGATGATGAAATTTTGTTGGGGTTTTTTTTGCCATTTTCTTCTATAGCTTCAGGATATTGCATCTTTAAGCCTGTGCTCATTGCTCTAAATATGCATGTTTTCACATATATATATATAAAAGTACTGACTTTTTTTATATATATCTGCATGCAGAGACAAGTAGGTACATAGAAGTGGTGTTCACTTGCTCTGACATGCTGTAGGTAACTTTGCTCATACACAGAGAACCTGTAATACATTATTTATAAAGCAAACTGAAAGGTAATCATTTGAGAGCAGCTAGAGAGGTGTTGAGCAGAATATACAACAGGATATCTTCCTTTTCAGTAAAAGGAAAGAGTAAATGTGGACACCGGGTATGGGGGCAACATGCTAATAAACTGTTTTATGAGAAAAAACAGTTTTTACAGAGAAAGCATAGACAGAATCCAGTGTTTCAACATATTTCAGGACAGCATTAGACAGCATTAAACAGTCAAAAAAACTTGTATCAAAAAAGCATTTCCATCTACCAGACTCATAGGGCTATAGCCAAGGATGTTTTCCCTTTTCAAAGAGTTTAACTTACTGATTAGTAACAGCTACTTAGAATAATCTAAAAAGTCATCACATGAAAAACAGAAAAGGAAATTATGAATGAACAATCTCAGAGCTTAGATCAGTACAGTCTGCTCTTTGATCCAAAATGGATTCAAGAGAACTGAACCAAAAACATCTTCAAGTTGTCTTGAGATCAAAAGTTGTTCAGTCATGCCCATCCTTTTTAATATTCCCAGCACACACACTTAAACGAGTAATGACCACAAGGGACTGATTTCAGTAATACTTGTTATTTAAGATTTAAGAATGTATACAAATCCATATCACAGTTTGAACTTGCCTCCTGTTGCCCCCAAAGAGGTGAAAAACAAATATTACCAATCGACTTACCTGCAAACACTAGATTTTCTGGACATGGTAGTACTGGGAGAGGATGGAGGAGTCTGGTAAGACCAGCTGTAATCAGAACCTTTCAAATCTAAAATTACCTGATGAAAGATAATCAATAGCATCAAGGATGTGGAAAAATTTTACCCCTATTAACAGAAAACATCTTCTTGTCATTCGTCACCACTACAAACTTGCAGTGCCAATTGACTCAGTCTCAGTCCCCTTCCAGAATTACGCTGTGTATATAACACAGGAGAGTCAGCTTCATCCTTGGCTTTCCAGGAACTAACATACTTCAACACTAGGGCTGCTATTACAGAAGGAAAGTCACATTTGAATGGAAAAATCTTAAAAAGTAAACTGGAGATTTATTTCATGCATTCTGGAAGCTGTTTTGTTTGGGTTTTTTTTTTTACTTTTAAAAAAACTATTATGGCCTTAGAGTTGAAGAACTGTTGCATTTTAAAAAATTAGCTGAAGATCCAACACTCAACCACAGCAGAGCTTTACACTTCTAGGTCAATGATATGACAAGAAAATTAACATAGCAAGGCTGGAGAAAAACATCCCATTTGGATTTATTTAATGACACACATTTTTCTATGCATTTTAAGGACCACATGGAAAAATGCTCAAATGTTAGACTCCACCCAGCTATCCAATCCCAGCAATCTTGCAACTACGTAAAGAGAGGGATGTTCAAATGTAGGGTGAGGAGATGACATTCATTCCTCATACACTCTCAGCAGAAATCTGGCATCTTCATATACTTCCAAGTGTACCAAGTACTTCAGGGGCACTAAGCCGGTACTTCAAGATAATTTTTTTTAAATTGCTTATGTTAAACATGACCTTGCTGCAGAGAAGCATCTACAAAACATAACATTAAGCCACTAAACACCAGTACTCAATATCCCTCAAAACACAAAAGGAAAACTGGTGCAAGCTACAAACGAAAATGTTTTCCAGGCAACAAGAGCTGACCTGTTCACTTGAGGATGGCAATTTGTGTGGATCCATGGTAAGACTTTTCAGGTCATCTGATATGGTTTGTAAATGGGTTATTTCTCCTAGCATTGATATTTCTTCTTCCTGAAAAGACAAAAGAGCATGGCTAATCACAGCCTTGGTTTTAAAAATCAGACCCATAATTCAACACACCACCTTTTTCTTTTTGCTGATGACTGTGGGGATGCCCAGTGGAGCCACCTTTTCTTTGCCCATTAAGCAGTAACTTCTTATGAAAGAAGCTCGAAAATATTAGAGTTCTGTAACTACTTTAAGATTGCTGTAAGTTCTGAGGCCCACAAATCTTTCTCTCATCAGCAAGATAAATAAGTCTCAGCCTTCTTTTTGTGATGTGTTCAGAAAAAGAGTGTCAGTTTTGCTGCATTAGACAAATTTTAACTCTTCTATGTATAGGCACTAATGTGCCCTAAAGATTTTAACCCTGAATGTACACAGGGGTTAAACTCGTATTCTTTGCTAGTTTTTGAAACTTAGAGATAAAGGCACTATACAGGTACAGAGCACTAATATATCTATGATTCCTTCTGGCTCAAATTACATCAACAACTAACTCAGATGATTCATGCACTGTAAACTATCCTAGCATTTCCTCCAGGTCCTCCAGAGTCTGGAATTCACCTCCTCCTGCTCAGCCATCACCTTCCTATTTCTCTAACTACAGTTTTCTGTTGAGAGTGGTGCTCTTTGTAAACAAGCACTGGGAACATATTCCCAGTACACCGGTGACCCTTCAGAAATGCATCATGCTTGCACAAAGCCACAAATGATTCCTTGTCGGGCTTCAGACAACCTGAGATGATGAAAATATACTGAAACCTTTTCAATGAACTGAAAACCTGTCATGTAGCAGGAAAAGAGCTATCAAAAAACTGCACGGAAGCAGCCTGCAATCTGTCAGATAATGTCATTATATAAACAGGGGAGGTCCTGAAACATTTATCAGTCCTAGCACTGGAGTAGGAGTGAGGAAGATTTAAATTAAAATGTGATGTTAAGAAGAAAAGCAGTGGAAAAAACTGCATTTGCAATGTCTTAGGTTGAAATTCATAGGGAACACAAACTGACTTTAGTCTTTGTGCCCACTGTTTACCCATCAGTCATCTTGAAAGCATTCAGTGTCTTCTATCACTGAATTACTACAAGCGCCTACAAGAAAGGCCCCAATTCTCACCACTTGCTTGACAGAGATGAAGCTTAATTTTGGCTCCAGAAATTAATTCCCAAGACATAACAAGATACTCTTTTGAGAGGTTTCTGGCCACTTATCTAATCTGTGAATTGTACTGACTCAAAACGAAGAGCTCTTACTATCACAGGGCGCAGCATGGAGATGAAAGCACAGAATCGGCCGCGCTCCTCGATCAGAGCCTTTCTGACAGCTTGCTTCTCAGTTTCTTCAAGCAGCAGGTACTTATCATTGACATCTTGTAAAGCACTATCCAACTGGGGCTGAATGTCACCCCGTCCTGCATGCAGGAAACAATCAAGAGTACATTTTGTCAAAACTGTGGATCTCCATAAACGACCTTATTTTCAGCCAGCACTGTTGCCAGATTGTGCTTTTGCAATTAATGTCTCAACCAGCATTTTATCTTAATTCAAGTTAGTAAGGGTTTTTTTTCCCCCCAATTAAGTCAAGCATTTCAAAGCATTTATTTTTTCCCCTTTTGCACAGAATAGAAATACAGCTCAATTTAAAAGGTTTCAACAAGCCAAAGACAGCATTTGAAAGAAAGACTTTCTCAAAGCATTACTGTAGTAACTGTTCATATCATCCTTGCTGAAAACCAACATCTTACTAACAGGGAGAGTAGTAATCACTAATCCCAGGTAAACACCTCTTCCTATTTTTGTGCTTAACAAGGTCCTAATGATAACCTTGTGGAGCCACTAAATGAATGAATCAATCTCCTATATAAGATACTATTATGACATGTTACTGATCATTGGACCACTTGACTCAAGCACTCTGCACAAGCAACTGCTGCAAGTTTTCTTCATTCCAGGGTTCAAACAAAACCAAACCTATCAACATAGGTTATTAAAGTATGTATTAATGTCCAATATCTGGCAGTGGAAATAATAAAATTCCAACGTTTTGCAAACAAAAAGCTTCACTGTGGTTATTACAGTCAACTCATAATAACAAAACTTTCTGTGACAGGTAAATATCTTATTCTGCACCAACTGCTTACTCTGCATCATGTCAAAAAATATTCCTCTAGGAATGAAGAGCTGCTGCCTAGACATACTATTACTGAACCAATAACATTTCAGTTGCAAGATATTTTCAAGCAGCTTACACTCCTAAATATTTTGAAGAACTTTAGTTGTATAAATTTGTTGCAAATCTCCCAGGATCCAGGTACATATCCATACCACTGTTGCTAAATACCAGGGAGATAACACTGAAAAAATGGTGAGTGAGTTACAAGCAGTTACCCAAAATCAATTTTTATGGACAATAACCCTTCTGCATGGAGAATTTAAAGCTACGAGCAAGAGGAAGAAGAAAGTCTCTTGACTTGTGCAGTACACAATGCAGATGACTTAATGTCAAGGTTACAAAAGAAAACCTTTGCCTTATTATCATATGTATTTCCTTAATACTCCTTTTCAAGGCAAAGTCATCAGCTCCCCTGCACTGATGCACAGCCAGAGCTGCAGGAAAAGAGCGCAGCAATGGAAGCAAAGGGAATCACGCTGGTTTAGCGGCATTACAGGCTGGATATATCCAAATCTCCTCTGTGCAGAGTTAGACATAGTCCAGATAAAACTGCACAGACCCCACATGCAGAGCTGTGCGATGGATCCTGGAAGAATCACATGCAGTGCAACATGGACATGGCCACTGCCAAGGCCAGCTGGGTACTAGACTGCCAACAGAATACCCACTGCCTGATCCTGCAGATCAGGCTGGCTGCTGTAGTATGGTCATGAAACTCTTTTGGAAGTAAATAACTTTAAGAATAATAGACTCTGAAGGTGCAGTCACCTGCTTTCTCTCTCAAAATTAGCATCTCCCAGAAACAAGTTATAAGAGAGCTTTGGGTAACATCCTGAAGGTCCCGTGCCTTCTTGTCGGTCACTCTCAGGAGACATACTGGGCCTTCCTGCTTGAAGACCATTCTGTATGTTTCAAGTCCCTCCCCATACTCTCCTTCGCCATCAGATGCAGCAGTTAAACATTTTATACTTCTCTGGAGTTGTTATTTCAAATTCCTTATGGAAAAGAGACTTGCATCATTGCTCAGACCCCTTTTCAGTGTTGCCTGGAAATTACAACAGGGGAAACAATCTCCTGTTCAAACCTAGATTCTGACTCACTATCATGGATGTACCAAATGCAAAATATATTAGTTGTAAACTAAATCACACACTCATTAGTTCAGCTCTGGAGAATTGCTGTAAATGTTAAGCTGTTCCATCATATGATCATGCACGTAACACAGTAAAAATCCCTGTTAAATGCATTCACTTGTGCACTGAGAACACACACACTTAGAAAGCAACTGGACTCCATTGATAAAGTGGGTTCAATTACAGTGAATTTTCGTAATTTATGTGGACCTCACAGAGCACCATGTCTTCAACCAGAGGAACAAGAGCACCCAAAACCTGGGGCAAAAATAAACTCAATTTGCACCTGTGTAACTCACTAAATTCAATAAAGTTATCAGGATAACATTCAAGATGGTATTTTAACCCCTCAGCAAGGGCACATGTAAAACTGCACCCCTCTCCAACATCCTCTGTACCTCTACAAAATTTCCTTTATTTCTTTCAGTGAGTCAGTACATTACCAAGATGCACCACCTCCTCACTGCTACTTCCGCAGACCCGCTTTAATGCTCTGAGGCACTTGGGTAGTCAGTGAAAACACAGAAGCTGCCTGGGGTATAATTCAGAGCAGGAAACAAGCTTAGGAGAATCATTTAGATGAGGCTCTGAAGTCAGATGTTTACATGGCATGAACACAGCTCTCTCCCGATGACTCCTTGCAACTCATCTTTTAGGAGCAGGAAAGCTTTATCAACATCCTTTGAAAGCTCCACAAAGCAGACATCAATCTAACAAGTCTTTTGAAAGCAAGCATAGCTCTTCACATTCTCTGAATTGCCAGCTGCCTCCCATGGCACTCAGAGAGCTCATAAATTTGAGTGATGAGATCTCTGCCCAGTTAAACCAGTTTCCTTAGCTAAGCAGAGCAGAGCCAATCCCCTTGACAGCACTCCTATACCCATAGGACACAGAAGGTATGAGGACTGCTCATCACCTCTGCTCCTCCCCCACCTTTGGGTCTCCACTGGCTTGAATCTGCTACTTATCTCAGAAGGGACTACTGACCACAGGAGAGCAATGAAGTTCTTTTCCCCTTTGAATTATGAGAGGAAGGGCACTTGTCCATGGCATCTCCGACAATTGATTGCAATATTTTTACTATGGACATGAGGCACATTTTCATAAGGAACATCAGCAAGCAATTATTTTTTCCAGCCCACATTCTCTGGCCTTCAGGTTATGCATTTGGAAACATTTCCAAACCAACACAACCACAGTAACGACATCAGACAGTTCCAGAACTCATCATGGAGCAGCTGCAAGAGTGCACCTGGAAGGACATTCCTGCCCCAGCTGCAGGCACGTTTGAGTGACCTACCACATCAATCTGCAACAGTAATGGCCAAAAACATCAAATGTAGTCACAGGTCTCTGGTCTGCAACCAGCCAGACATGAACAGGGTGCAGGGATGGTTCTGCAGAGCATGTCCAGCTGCACTCAGAAGAACAAGTCAACAACCTGAAAACTGAGGAGGAATTCAAATCCAGCCGTTCTCAAAATGGAGCTCTGGCAATGCAGAGAGGAGCAGAAATGCAAGACCAGAAGTCGTGGACTGAATTCTCCAATAGCCTGGGGACTTGCGGCTGGACCACAGGCAAGTAACAGCTAATCCAGTGCAGGGAGCTGAACTGCTTCTCATTAAAAGTAACATAAATCTGCTGCTACTTCAAGGACAGTTTTAATATGTTACCTTCAGAGCAGGTGCTCCACATCATTACCATGACATACAAGAGCTTTAAAGGACCAACATGCATTAAAAGTTCCATTTTACAGTGCTTTGTGTGAATCCTGGCTGAAAGCCTCATGCAATTTCTGAAATAACCACCATTTAAAAAGAACTTCAGTAAGGGGAAAGTATTAGGGAGAAAGAAAAAGGCAAATCTCATTTTCAACCCAATTTCATGTCTATTTTATAAGATAACTTAAACTAGCAAAGCTCTCAGCAACACCAAAGCAGAACAATGATCTTTAAATGCTCTCAGTGCAAGTCAAACTGCTAAAGTTAATGCTGTTATTGACAAAGTAATGCAGCAAATATTGGTGAAACTATTATTTTCCATGTTCTCACTCAAAGACTGCTCCCTTGCACTTTTTTAAGTGTCTGCACAGAACTTGAATATCCAATATTGGACACTTTACAGAGTGGCAGAATTTACACTGTGTAAGATAATGCTGAGTACACCTCTACTTGTACAAATCAAAGCAGGCTCCAAGTAATTAATTCCCAAACCACCTTCTTTACAAGAGTACACCTGCTCCACCTGCCAGGACGAACAACCCCTCTAAGTTTGGACAGTAAAGACAACAAATCAACTAATACGGATCTGGGTTGAGAATGGAAGAATTCTGCCACCGTTTATAGCAAGGTAGAAAATCATATAGCTGGGATTAATTTCAGACTCCTTCAGAAACCAAATCCGAATCTTTCTGTTGGCTACTGGAGATCTGAATCAGCTGCTAATGTTCAAAAGTGCAAAGGCTTCCTTTAACATAAAAAATCCAAATTACTAAATGAAGCTTCAAGATTGAATTACAAACCAGGAAAACCACAATGTGTAATTCCAAAAAAGGGGACAAGCAGCAGCTCCAGGAGCCCAGATGAGGGAACTTGGTTGAGAAGCCATCTAATCAATCCAAGCAATCCAGAGGCCAATCTAATCAATCCAGTCTTCTTCAAAGGGAACAGCTACATCACTACACTTGCAAGTGCAGGTATGATTACTTCTCTCAAGTTCAGAATCACGGCACTTCATTCACAAGGAGATCTCAAGGCAGCTACTTTAAATTTGCAATACAACTGAAACAGAATCCCAACTCAAACATACTCGAGGTGTGATCAGGCAACAGGAGAGGAGACAATCGTGATGCTGAATTCCAACCCATTCCCCAGCATGAATATAGTGATTTCTTATCCATCAGGTAAGAAAGATGCATGCGATTTTCAGAAAAAAAGGGGAATTTGGATCACAGATTACAAAGACCAACACTAAGGACTTTAAGCTCTAGACTTTAAAAGTCATATTAACAATAAGATACTCAATTATTTAAACATCACCTTGATGACATGTCTATTCCATTTAACTTCTCTCCCAACTGTGACATGATTTATCTGTCCATGTTAACCCCTTTCTAAAATAAACCAGAGGTTTATCCACAATACTGATTTTCTTCTTTTACCAGTGTTCCAATTAGATGCCAAAAGAAAATAAATCAAAAGGTGCTTTGTTCATTAAGATTAGGCAAATTTTAGTTTCATTAGAAATTAAAGTCTAGGCAGTTAGTGGAGACCAGACACCATAAAGAGGCCACAGCAAGGGCTACAATGAACCAGCCACCAGGGTCACAGCATGGCACAGACTTACCCAGAGCCTCAGCTGTCAGGCAGGTGCGCATGGTGAGAAATTGCAGGACACAAAATTGACACAGAAAGGAAAATAAAAAAAGTCAAACTGGTATTACAGCATTCCTAGAATTTAGACATTATCATCAGCGCCAAGAAAAAAGAGTAAGCAGTTTGGACTAGGCTATTTTGACTTCTTCCATTGCTGATAAAGACAAGTGCATTAGCTTTGCTTCCTGCTGAGCTGTTGTAAGTTAAACTTCTGGTTATTTACCATATAGAGTTTTACTTTAAGAGATTTAAACCAGTTTAGACTCCTCGGTGAGAACACATTAACCTGTGCTTCAGAGAAAGTGCACAACACAGATAAACGTCAGACTCTGGTCAGGCTGATAAAGTGGCAAAAAGCTCATCACCCTCACAGGGAAGAGGGAATTCAAACTTGCAGAACTCTGGGCAGGTGCTGTGTGAGTAACCACAGTGCTTTTTGATGTTCTCTACTGCAATTACATTAACAGATTGTTAATTAAATTAAAAGCTAATTGCTGATGCAATGTGGATGAACATCAAAAAGATTAACTATGATATGTGTATTTTAATTAAAAAACTTTTTATTATATGAAGTTTTGCAATAAACCTGGCTTGCTGTCAAAAAGAGGGGAACTATCAAGAGGCATTCAAAACTCAAGGAATGAAAGTAAATCAAAGAAATGTCTTCAGTCACTGATTTAGCAATTTGTCTTCACTGTGTTTTTGTGAAGCAGAGCTTACATTATAAGCTTGCAGGGAAAAAAACCCCAACAACAAAACACCAAAAAGCCCTGCAGGCACCACGGCCTCATTCACACAGGACATTTTCCCTGCAATAGATAAGGATAATTTGCTCATTAGCTTCCCTCCTTCTGAGCTGCATCAGTGTGAGTCTTGGCTCTCACTTCCCTCATCATGCCACACTTGATCAATTTAGAGGAATGAGGTTATCTCCTGCAGAGGAAGGGTCTGGCCAGGGGTTCCCCCTTCCCAGTCTGTCACTCCAGATGGGGTAAGTGCCAAGTACAAAAAGAGTGCAAAGTACTTGAATGAGAAGGTCAGCATTTGCTTTAAGAACTGAGACATCCTTCAGTTATAATTGTGTTGAAGAGCTTTATGTTTTTCAGTTAAGAGTCACAGGGTTTGCACAACCATCCTTGAGAGGAGTATAGCAATATTACAAAGACCAGAGTGTAACCCCAAAACAGCTGTGAAGGCCCTAAAACACAAACAGATCATCTTTGCTAATGAGGAGAAGGAAGAAAAAGCCCTTTTAGCAGTATTACAGTAAATCAATAATCATTTTCTACACTCTTAATTTCATTAGAATCACAAAACACTTTCCAAGACTGCTGCATACTCAAAAGGAGAGGCTGTCAATTTGGATACCCAATGTTGATGGGACACAAGAAGAAATGTTGTACTGAATGTTAAGGCAATTCTGCAGAAACTTCTACAAATGGCATAGAGATAAAACTCAGTTTATATATTAACATGTGTTATATTATTGCAAGTGTTACATATAACTTCTCTCGTATCCGCTTGGATTGAAACATTTTCCTCAAAGCTCACACACAGTGTCACATGAAGAACCTGAAAATGAAACCTACCAGTCATGTTATAGGCAGAAGGGAAACCTGTCCAGTTAATCATTAATAGCCAAGCTGAAATACAGAAGATAAAGCCAACATGCACTCCAGATTTTACATATACATTCAGATATATTTTAATTTAGTCACTTGATCCTTTTTTAGTTAAACTAAGAATCATGCATTTTGTTAACCTTCCCAAATGGTTACATGCAGAGCCACAGCTGCTATCTCTCTTCTGAATTCAATATAGCATCAACAGCTTCTAGTAGCTATGGATCCACTTATGAGGCCCTGACTCAGCAGAAACCTAAACATGGAATTTATTTTAAATGTATGCATAATTATTCTGCTGACTCAGGTTAGCTGGGCTGACTTCTGATGGCCAATGTTTGTCTGAAAACAAAGAGCAATTTAGAAGATGTATGCAGTTCCATGCACTACACAGTTTTATCTGTTCAGACAAGAGCCAAGTTTCAACACTGAGATGTTGAGGCAAGAAGCCCTATGGGCCTGTTCCCTGTGGGAACAAAGGCCCTAAGGAAAAGGAGGTACCTTGAAGATCACCATGACATCCTCAGGGACTGCATGGATCTGGCTGGTACACCAGAATCCTATTTAGACTATATACAGATTTAGCTTCATATCGACCTTTTTTTTTTTAATAGTCAAAGACAATAAATAGAATGTAAATTATCTCTATGAGGTCTTTTGAAATGCAAGACCTTAATTTACACACAGACATGTCGCTTTACTAGATATACTCTAGCAAACTCCTCACAAGGACCCCGAACATCCTTTTGTTTTGTTTGGAAAGCTTGGTGTTTTCTCCATTGCTTCAAGCTTTGGAAACACCTTTACTGCAATTAACACGCTTACTCAGAGAACATAATGTCTAATAAATGATCTTAAGTGCCCAGCCTGAACTTTCAACTTGGCCGCATGGAACCAGACCACGCGCAAGCCAGGGCACAGGCAGACCCCCCATGTATTCGGCCCCTTGGTGGGGTGTCCAACCTGCAGTGCTCCTGCCACGACAAGCCAAACAGCCCAGGGCTCTCTCTCCTAAATGTCCTTGGGATGCAGACAAGGAGCTGCTGTGCATGCTGCAGCCATCACCTACGAGAGAGAGCCTCCGCAGCTCAATGCGGAAGGGGGAGAGAACACCCCTGCCGTGATGCGAATGAGGAAAGTAGAGGGTTATATTTGAGTTCCTACATCTGAAGCTGCCCAAAGCAAAAGAAAACCACTTTCTCATCCAGTCACAGCAGAAAAAGCTTGAAGGACCTTTTTTAGTAGCATGCACAGTATTGAAGCAAATCCAGAATTCAGCAAACATCTCACTTGCCCACAGATGATCGTAAGGTTAATTCAAAGATATTCTTACAAGTGCTAGGAAGGGAAGGAATTGGTTGTTTTAGAGTTCCCATAGGTGAGTCAGTAATTTTACAGAAAAATCAAAGGGACAGGTCCTGCTTGAGGAAGAACAGAACAAAAGAAGTAAATCTGAGCAACAGGGAAACGAGAGTTGAAGACACAATAAGACATTCATGCACTCAGCCACATGCCTGTCAGGAGAGTTTCACCCATAGTTCCCTGTCCACATTTCAAACCTCATTTATGACCTAAAGCAGAATCACTTCTGCACTCGTGTCATGAATAAATAAACCCCTTCTTGATTATTTTTATCCCTCAATAATAGCAAAAGCAACATACTTCATCACATAGGACATTGAACTGATCTGTCAAGATGGATACATACAAAAAACATTTTCATGACGACATCTGACATTGCATTCAGACCAACACTTTATTTCCTCAAGGTAGGGATCAAAACAACAAAGAGGGGGAAAAAATCTGCTATGTTTTTTTTTTCTTCTGTATTTAAGTACTGTAGATAACTTGCAAGAAGTGGACCTCCTGCCCACTTGTGCTGGGAACCCACAGGGCCAACAGCTTTGGGCATTCATACTCTCATCCACACGAGCCTCAAGGCCTCCCTGCATCTCTCCTACTCAGGGGCCATGAGAACAACGCTCAGCTCCTCAAAAATATTGCAGCTCTTACTTTTCCCTGTACTGGCTACCTGTGAATCTTCAGCTCTTCCACCTTCCCCATACACGTCCCTCTGTGACCAGCTTTAATCCCACCTGACTCCTATTGGGTTTGTGCTCTGGACCTAAACACCAGGTGTGGGAGAGCAATTCCATGGGGGACAGCACAGAAATACAGCACCTTCAGTACAGCTCCAAAAGTATGTCAAAATAGCAAAAGCAAGGGAATGACATTTTAAGAAAACTATGAAAGAAACAAAGAAAACTTCAATCACACCATGGCTGCTGCAATAATGATGGCAAAACGAGGCCTGTTCCACTCCCCACTCAAAGATGCTTAATCCTGAAGGAGGACAAGACACCAGTTTGCTAACCCTCGTCACAAGACTTGGCTCACATTTGGGGAGGAAGATATGAACCCAAAAATCCAAGGTCTATGTCTGCTTCCTTTAACCACCGCTGACAGATGCAGGTGGCATCTGCAGTATGAGAACAGTGGGTTGGGTTTTTTTCCAGCAGCTTTTAAGTTCTTCTCTCTCCGCTTCACACTTTACAGAAAATTATGTCTCCTTCTTCAATATTGCAGATGGATTTATTCAATACTCAGAAGCAGGATAAAGGGGAGCTGGAGCCAGACAGCTGTCATTCCATAGAAACAGGGTCAAAAAATGGCTCCTTCTTCACAGATCCCAGACAACCACCCAAACCATTCTATGCTTCAGTATTTTTCTCAGTGCTCACCTACCATGCATTGACGGGTTGTTTGTAACACACGTGGACAAGAAGATATGAGACTAGAAAAGGAGGGGGAGACAGGAAGAAAAACTGAGGAAATATTACACACTCTCTACAGACGTTGGTCTGAAGTCTGACAATTCATCACAGAAAATGAGAAACATGTTTACACATCATCCAAAAATCAAAATCTTATCTCAAAAAGTCATGTTCCTCTAACGATCACCATTCTGATTTTAAACACTAAACTTCTGACAGACAGACACACAAAGCCTAATGAGCTAAGCTCCCTCTTGCTGGCTTCCACCTCTCCTTTCCTCATCTCTCATCTGACATCAGCTAAAATTCAAGAGCAGTTTTCTAGTCATGTGGCTTTCTACCACTGTAATTAACTGACTCATCTATTAGGAAGGACAGTCAGAGACAGCTCACCTGTTCTGGGTAACACTTATACAATTTCAAAATTTCAAGAAACTCCCCACCCTAGTATTTATTTTGCTCATCCGTGGGTTCACTGATTTTAGGCAGGAGGGGAAGGACAAGTTGCAACCTGCAGGCTGAGAGCTGCTCAAAGCACACTTCCAACCCTGCTGCTTCCGACCCACTGCGGAAAAGGGAACCAGGAATTCTGCTTCTGTACAAGCTCCCTATCATTGCTCCAAAGCCTGGTGGGGTTTGCGCTTGGCCAAGGAGAAGCCTTAGTGATGGCAGTGCTGTAGCTACCAGTGATGCTTGTTTCCATTAAAATGACAATGAAAGTCCTGGGACAAGATGGAGGTGGGAGAGCAACAGGAGCACAAGATTCAGGTACTAAAAAAGACATACTGCCTTTGGGGAGAACTCCCTTTCTTTTCTCACTCATGTTTAGTTTTCTATGGCTGCCAAGTGCCCTCCCCTTGATAACAACCCATGCCACCTTCTCACATTTTGAGGAATAACATAAGGTTTAGGACACCACAGACTGTCAAAATAAAAAGAAAAAAGAAGAAAGGTGGTAGAAAGGAAGAACATTGAGAAATGTTAATAGTTAGAGAACATTTACATAATGGCTTTTTTTATATTATTCCAAAAGATTCTAGAAAATTTTACAGGTATCTGTAAAAGTCATGTCATAGCGTCAATGTTCCTAAGAAGAATAAGTTAGCAGTAAGAGTTCTATTTTAAAACACGATTGACTTTGTACAAACAGTTTCAAGGCTTTTGCATAAGAACATTAGATGGCAGCTTCAGAGTATGATTTAAATGACACATAGTAATTCTATCCTGGTGTTCAAGTACATATCAGGAATACACTAGAGGGGACCGAATTATTATAACAGAAAGTCCTACTGCTGTTCAGTCTTTGTCAATGAGCACAGCCCAGAAGTTTTTTTAACAGTATAGTATGGAGCAAGTTACCTTTCTTTGCTTTCTTCTGTAGCTTCAGTGTGTCAGATGATTTCTTTTTTATCTCTTGACGGGCTTTTTTGTATTCTAAAAAACACACACAGTCTCTATTATCAACATACTCAGTGTCAAAATGAATGTTTTTCACAGAAAAGGCTATGGTTGAAGACATTAGACTACCAACTTTTAGAGGACAGCTACTATTAATCAAAGCAGCTTAGAACTCACATTTTGTAGTGCCTATACATTTGGCTTAATATAACATTTTAGGGTGTGAGCACATTCACATACCAAAATCTTTTCCAAATAAACAAAGCCTTTACAGAAATAACAACTGAGAACACAGTACAAAATCAGAGTGCTTTTCACTTCAGACTCATCCACTCTCAGGAATGGAAAACAGAGATGACAGGTTTCTCGAAACATCTGTGTTCAAAAACAAGCATCCAGAAATGGCAAGGCAGAGAATATCCTGTGATCCCTCTCCAGCATGAGAGTCAGGCGGAGGGAGAGAGTGCTAAAACTTTGCCCAAGGAAGGGTCACATTGCTAGCTCTTTCTGATGAAGTGGAACACACTGCAGTTGTCCTCATTTTTAGATGAGCTGCAAATGCTGGGAGAATTAAAATCCCAGAACAAAATATTCAACCTCTAGTGCAGGGACACTAAAGGTACCAGATATGAAAGCTGATATTTAAAAATAAATAAATAAAAAAAAAGGCATGTATGCATGTATATACATATACACACACACCTTAACAAAGGAGTCAATGTTACTACTCTTCTAATAGATGGAAAAACAGAAGCAGGCTGGTGGCAGGCACAAGAACTGTACCGAGGCCAACTGCACCCCCAACACCCAAGTCTGCCCACTAAACCCTAAATCTCACTGCCACTTTGGCCAGGGTCACCCCTACCTGCAGGAACCCTCCCTACCTTGCTTAACACTCTCTGCAGCACAAGGTAGAGATTTTTTCAAGGGCTGCTGATTCAACTGCTTCTATGTGATCTCAGTAACAGTGGAGCAAGAAGCAAATCCTCTTTTGGAGGCCAAGCCCACTCCTTCCCCATCAGTTCTCACCCTCTACAAAATAAGTTATGGTGCTCTTGCTTCTTTCAGACATAGCAAAAGTCTTCAATTTTCAAGTGGTGAACTGGAACCTGCTTTCAGCACCTGCGCTAGAGGGCCACCATCTCTAATTAAAGTTTTGCAAAGCCAAAGACATCTACCTATGCACTTGCTTTGCAAGACTGCTGCCTCCTGTTCATTCCCCCAGGAAAGCCTCTGGAGCCATCATCAGCACTGCAGCTCTGGGCATTCCATGTCCACGACACAGATCTGCTCCCCAGGTGCACATTTCTGTGTGGCATCAGGTATAAAATAACGATGCTCAGTGTTTTACAGGGCTGTGCAATCTCTGGAGAATGCTGCATCTGAGGCATAACATGATCTTACAATTTGCTTTTAACAATACCCCAGGGCTTTGACAGGATAGATGTGGCATCTCCAGTCCTCAGCACTATCGCAGAACACACAGAGAGAGCAGACTAACAGACTAGTCATGGCTTATCAGTCAAGGAAACAATCTATCCCTTGGGGTCCTGCAAACTAAACCTTCCAAATGCATAGCAAGGGTTAAAATTTTGTTAGGCACTTTAGGAGAGGAGTGTTTTAGAAGCGAGAAGTTGCTATACATATTTAAGCATATCATTCAGTTCCCCAGTACAAACATGAAAAGAGGAAGAAAAACTGATATTACAATCTTACTCCTATTAAAGAATTCTTCCTCTGTAACTACCTTTTGCATGGTCTTTATCCAGCTGATTGGCCACTTTCTTCCACTCTTCCATCTGTTCTTGAAGTGGGTTTATCAGACAGTCAATTAAAGCACTAATTTTGTTGGAAAAACACAAAGAGCAATCAAATCCTGCAGATACCCCTATTCTTACAGAGAGAGCCAAGGTCAATATTGGAGTATTTTTACTTTTTGCTGTGACAGCTACCAGTGTCACAATGTAAATATCAGAACATAAAAATGTTTACACTGGAGAAAGCAAAAGAAAGAACTGGATCAAAAAAAAGTAAAAATCCACATCACAAGATAACCAGAATTACTGCGCAGAAGTTCAGGACAGTGAGGAACAGAGAATAAAGCAGAGGAGTGACCCAAAACAGGTCAATGTAAACAGTTAGATCCTACTCAGCTGTCACACAGTTTAAATGGGTACTCTGGAGACCAGAAAGGTTCATGAAGCCATGAAGATTATAAACTTAAATAACACATTTATATACACAAGACAGAGCAGTTGTACAACAGAACAACATCCTGGCCAATGATGGGCCTCACCTCACACCAGTGGAGCCCATGATACAGCACCAGCAATCCTGCACTAATTAATGAGACTGGGATCAAATCATTTAAATAGCTAACTCTCGGGTAACTGGAGACTAAAGTTGTCTCTTCACAGTCAATTTCTTAAAAATCTTTATTTTAAAATAATCAGAAAAATCATAGAATGGTTTGGGTTGGAAGGGACCTTAAAGGTCATCTAGTTCCAATTCCCCTGCCATGGGCAAGGACACCTTCCACTAGACCAGGTTGCTCAGGGCCCCATCCAACCTGGCCTTGAATACTTCCAAAGATGGTGGAAAAAGGGAAAAAACAAACCAGGTCACCAGCAAATGGTGAAGCATCATTTTTTTTCACCTCAGGTCAAGTATAACTTGCAAGTCTGGTTAAAAAGCACACATGCAAACTACAACTTGTACAAATTGTTTTTGTACAGCCCAGCTTACATATGAGCTAATCCTCTCTCATTACCTCTACAGTCTAACTTCAACAGCAAAAAGGGAATGAGAGAATTTGCCTTTTTGCACACTCATTTGCTGAAACTTTTTTTCTTGGCCACAAGCTGTTTGGGCTCTCCAGTAAGCTGAGGAAGCAGCACAACATGCTGCTGCTGCTTTAAAACTTAGTAACAAAGCTTGAAGTCCTGAAACAAAGACAGGTCAGTTGGTCACATCAGCAGCCGCCTGCTCAGCACTGAGTATCAGGAACTGACAGTGGGAATTTGCAGCATATAGAGGTGATTTGAGGCAACTAGCCCAGCCCCCAGAATATGCAGTGAAATCCTGCATGTTCACAGCACCTAATGTGCTGTGGGGCAGAGAAAAATTGCTGTTCTCAGTGACATGGGCAGAGATCAGCTGAGAAGCCAATGCTGGTGGACACCTTCAGCATCAGAAAGATGAACCTCCAATGCCAGGCCAGGTAGGGAGCCACTCACCTTGAGAACTGCCGGAGTTTCGACTCTATACTTCTGTGCCTCATACACATCCTGGTGAGAGCAGACCCAATCTCTCTGGTACCACCTGAAAAACAAAAAACAAAAGGTAGGTGAGACTCCGATGACATTCCCACCTGTGGTGTAGAGGCATAAGAACCAGGAGGCAGGTGCCAAGCCTTCCAGAGCAACTGTAAAACAAATTACTAGTAACTGTAGAATCAACCAGGCTATTAACAGGGCAGACCTCGGGGGTATCTGCCACCTCGGGAAGAGATTAATTCCTGTTTACCAAGAGACCAGAACTGAACAATTAAACAGGAATAAAACGCAGTTCTTCCCAGCACTTTTCTGTGCCATGAGGTCCAACTCCATGGCAGAAGAGTTAAAAGTGCCTGAAGATGTCAAGAGCCAAGAAGCAAAGCTGGCACAAGGGGATCTATAGAGAGCTGAGCATCTATAGAGACTTTATGTACACATTTTGGAAATAAACCTAGGGGATTCGATCCAGTTTTCCCATCTCTGGATTGTTTAGATCCAGTGCCTCAAAGGGATTCTGCTCCTCTGGGATACGTGCCCGATCCCACATGCCGCAGGTCCCAGCATTGCCAGGAGGTGGCGCCGTTCGCTGCAGCCCCTCGCGCATCCCACAGGTGGGACAACCAGCGGCTTTCCAAGTTTCCTCCTCCTCCTCCTCCTCCTCCCAACTCGTGCCTTCCGAAAACACACATTCCTTCACTCCCCACTTCAATCAGCATTACCAACTCTGACCAGCCCATCAAATTTCGATATAACTTTGTTTTGGTTAGTTGCTAGGTTTGGTAAATGCTTGGTTCCCATTTGCAAGTCAAATCTACTATTTTCAGGGTAACAAACATCAACCTTCGTACAAAATGTTTCCGAACTGCAGTGCTCTTTGCAACACTGAATATATCAGCAACTATTTAAAAGACCTATTTGATTATCAGAATAACTTTGGACTTGTATCACAAACTAAGATCTTCCTTAGGCTTTAAAAATGGCATTGCCCAAGTAAAAAAAAAAAAATCTCCCCAAAAACTTGAAAATTTTTGATCATTTGAGTTTTTTAAACATGAAAAAAGTCACCATCTTCCTGCATTCTTGTGAAATTAAATCCTGCGCCCACAAAATGGCTGTGGAACAAAGACACTAAATAACTGGAACAAACTGTGGCTATTTGGTATTTTCCATTGTTCAAAAAGATAAATAGAAAGTCCTTTGTGACTTGCCCAATTACTCATGTTTTTATAAGGAGCTATTGAAATAATATTATTTAGTAACACTGAAGAGCTGTAGCCTCTCTGCATACGAGTGGTTGGGAATAGCATACGGACTCCAGCCTGTGGAAGAGATGGATCCAAACCCATCTCTTCCGGTGATGCTGCACTTGCACACGCTGTGACAGACTCTGGTAACTTGAAAAGCAATACAGAAGATGGGGAGAGGCATAACAGAGAGAAAACAACTGCAGAAAGAGGACAACATCCACAACAAAACATCTTTATTCCAAAACATGGGCATTTTTCTCTGAGCCAGTGGCAAATAAAAATAATTTTATTTCAGAGTTCAATATGGCACAACTACAATGACAGAGAAGGAGAAATGAAGCAAAAACTTCCATGGCCATCAGCAGAGTAATTCTGAATTGAGTTTAAGCAAAAGGTAGGTTTTTCAGGTTGAAAACTCACTGACATACTGGAATATTAAATACTGTCAATGGTTAAGTGAGACTGCTTTCCTAAGTCTGTTATATGAAAAAGGAAGGGTCATATCAGAACAATGATAAGGAAATAAGGCACCATGTGTTTTGGAGACTAGGAAATGAGGGCCAGTTACTGTTAATATTAAATTGCAAGATAACAGAATTTTACCTGAAACACCAACAACCAAAGTATAAATATATCCCCTCAATATACAGTACAGATGGGCAGGCAAGGTCAGCCAAACAGCAATACAGTTTGGCCTATACACTGGTAGTTGAGCTGGTTTAAAAAACAAAGAAAAACCAAACCAAACCAAAAAACCCAAAACAAACCAAACAAAAACAAACAAAAAACCCCCTCAAAAATAACAGAAAAACCCCCAAAAAACCCAACCCAAACAAAAAAACCCAACCCACAACAAAAATAAATAAAGCCTGGAATAAAAAGGTTATTACATAGAAAAAACCAAACTAAACTTGTTGGGAATGAGGGGGCTACTGGTTCTTCCCACCTTTTAAAACTTCCTGTTAAGCATGAAGTGTTTACATGAACATGGAAAGCTGAGGTGTTAATTTCATTCTGTGAATAAAGATTATTCTAACAAAGTGAAAGTAAAGGAGAAAAAATGGTTTTGAGAAATTTTTAATGTCAATTCTGGAAACAGGGTGTTCCAGAAGATGGGTTTAGGATTCTGCTCAGGAAAGAGAATGAGGGGTGCTGCTGGAAAGTTTGGGAGGGCTAAGCCAGCACCTCAGCTTGGTCATCATGGGCTCAGGGAGGGCTGTGGGGAGTGGGTCAGGGCTGGTAAAGGTCACCGGACTAAAGGAAGGACAGTACGGGCCCATCTTGTCCCACACCTGAATCCTGCTGCTTCTCCTAAATGTATTAAGTACTCCAACAGCACTGGAGTTAAACAGAGCTTTACCTTCCTGATCCCAACTATATTAACTGTCAAGAATACAAATGCTTCCTGAGAAAGCAAGAAAAAGTTAAATACAGGCCTCTCAACATCCTTTGATTTACTGAGCTGGAGCACTGTGGTCATCACCGATGCAGTCAGCTGTTCCTCCAGGAACACCTGCAGTGCAAAGGATTTATCTCAACTTTCAGAAGGAGATTTCAGCAAAGGCTAGTTCCCACGAGCAGAACTGCACTGATGTTCCTGTTTCCAAATCTGGGATCAGCTGGCTACACAAACTGGCAGGAGGGAATCTGTACCACTGCAGTGGTTTGAAAATATCCAAACATAACAAGGGATGGTAGCTTGGATTTGTTTCTTTCACCCAGTCTCAGCTGCAGTGAACAAGAGTAACATATGCTTTACATAAATTACTCACAGCAGCAGCAGGTGGCCAAAGCGTGTACTCTGCACACAGAGATGGACCTCACAAGCAGCATTAATGTGTGTGCAAGTCCTGGTATTGGCTACACACCCAAGTAGTCACAATCTAGGAAGGAGTTTATTGCACTGGGTAATGCCACGGTCATACAAAACTTGCTTCAGCCTCCAACTTAATTTATTGTTTATATTTTCAAATACCTGCTCCAAAAGCGACCAATTGCGTACTGACTCAAGGATAGAGCATCTGACAGAGAAGTCCACCAGGATAATGCTGAACGCACTGCCCATCTCCATTTCACTTACAAACAGGTCTCTGGAAGAAAGTTATGGCATTCTCCGGTATTCTCCAACTTCCCAAAAAGAAATACTGAGGCCACACTAGTAAACTTTTCATCAACCCACGAGTATGTTGGAGGGGTGACCTGGGCTCCATTCACTGCTCTGCAGCTATGCAAGTCAAATTGCTGTGCCTGGGACTCTCAGTTTATGAAATGAGGCTGTGAATTATCTGGTTCTCTGACATACCGTAATAATTCATCCATTAAGGCAAACAATGCCTGGGAACAGTGTAAAGTAATACTTCGAAACCGGAGATGAGAGCTGTATTCATCAGAATTCCCACTCAGAGAAAGTGGCTTAACAAAACGCTCCTGTCAAATTTGATTAGAAAGTGGGTGATAACATCAGCCTGATTTCTCATAAGTAAAAGGTGACTCTGCAAGGCAAAACGTGCTTTTGCTCTCACCTGCTTCTTCCTTTCCTGCCTAAGCCTGTAAAAGATCACAAACTTTTCTCATGTAAGATAATTAAATGAAAGTCTGTGGATCACTACACTACAATGAGTCCACTATAAAGGCATAAATGATTTTCTTTTGATGCTTGTTTGTCATTCAACATTGCAGAGAGACAACAGGGACAGATTGTAGGAAAGAGACTCAATTGTTTTATTGGAGTCATTATGTTTGTGTTTAATGATGATCATATATCAAGGAAATGACTATTTGATGAAATGTGCAGCTGTACAACTGCATGGCCTCTATATAACAACTCGCTACAATCAACCTCTTATCTTCCTCCTCTCCCTTCACTGCTGAGCAACTGCAGCAGGCTCAGAAGATGCTGCCTTTCAGGAAGTGCCTTTAAGACTCCAACTTGTTAACGAGTTCATCTTTGTCTTCAAGGGCATAGTCCAAATGTTTCAGCTACTTCCCTCTTTCCAAAAAGGGAGAAAATGATGAAAAATGGGTGTAATACGTTTGTAATTTCAAAGTTATCAGAAGAGGCTTCCATTTTTGAGTAAAGATTAAAGCAGGAGTGGAACGGAGGCTGGATTATTAAATACAACTCTGAACACGGAGGCTATGATAGGATGACTAACAGTAGGACATTTTAAGTTAATGGCCATTACTCAACCCTTATCCAAATTCATGCTGGTAGAAGAGCAAGCAGTTTCCATCACTAATTACATGTGACATGGACCTTGATCTTACAAAACGTTTTATGCGGATGTCTCCATGAAACTCAAGAATGATGGGATCAGTTCCAGGGTGTTACGAAGACAGAGGAAAAATGAGGGCTTTTGCCTAAAAGTGACTAGCACAGGGGCAAGTCACTACTGGGACACAACTAAGCAATCACTACTGGGATAGAAACCTGGAAGTGGAGCTACGGGAGCACTTTATGTTTCAGGGTGCCAATGGCCTCCAGGTAAGGCTTGTAAGTTGGAAAAACACATCAAGAACTGCAGAAAATAAAAAGATCTTGTTCCACATCTACCAGTCAGAAAAAGAACACAGGACACCCTTAGTCCTACAGCTCCTATGAGCCTTTATGAGCAACACTTTTATCAAAGTTTCTGAAAGCTGCTGCAGAAAAAAAACCCTATTTACTGAACTTTTTTTAAAATTTAATTTAGACATCCTTCAGAGGTGACTGGATCAACAAATGCAGATTCAAGGTCAAGCTCACCTATGAATTTTAGACTAACCAGATTTAACAAAGAAACTCTGGCAGGCCATTGTC